TCTATCTATCTACTCGTTCACTAATCTGTCTGTCAGTATCAATATATGACAATTTCTTTCGTTTGTGTGTTTGCATGCGCTCTATTCCCTCTCATGATATACCTATCTATTTGCCATTTTCTGTTTTTTTTTTTTCACAGATACACACATCTGTACTGTAACAGAAACAATATGGCCGATGTTTGCCATCACTATGAAATAAAAGACGATTCCGACAGAATGAATCAATGTAAATTTGTTTCTGCATGTAAACAATGTAAAGATAAATCAAAAATATACTTTAAGGTTAACAATGCAGTGTAGAAATGTCAGCAACTGAGCAGATACATAACGCAAAGAAATTTATTAGCACTTAAACCTAACAAAAGTCTCTGTTTGCAGAATGTCTTCAAATAGCATGAATGGTTACTATCTGGCATCCTTTGTTCTAATTTGTCTCTTGCAGAATGAAGATAACAGAAGCTTATTCTTTTTTCTCTTTCTGCTTTACATCGAATTGTACGTATATATCTATGTTAGAAGAAATTCTTTATCACGCCTACCTTTCTCTTTAATTCTTGTCAGAGTTCGAAATTCAAGTACACTTTTCTTCTTAGTCCTAAATTTTAATGGATATCTTTATCCAATGTCCTAAAATTCCGTATTACCCGCCGTATGTATTCGGTTCTTCCTGTCGATTGTTTTCGTCTCAGTTGACAAAATCAATCAACATTCCTTTCAGATGCTTTCATTTTTCTCGTTCATTTTGTTTTTCAAAAGACTGTCAATGTTTAGAATTCGGGAAAGACAGTCACTATTACTTAACCTCAAATGAAATAGTGAAACAAATCGACAAATCTTAGCATAGGCCAAATCAAAATAAAACTAAGTATACTTAGAATTGTGTTGCCATAGCAAATTTCCATCTTCAGCCCTCGATAACATTAGCTGCAGAATCGATAGAACTATTCGTTCAGCTCTTGAAAATATATGAAGTTTAGTAAATATATAAGGAAATATGCATTATTATATAAGATTCAAGGAACACAGTCAAACATATTGTAAAATACGATACATATATACATCACAGGTTTAAATCCCAACTCCTCAACATAGTCAACATCTCCGTAAATAGCAGTGATCCACCTACGAATGACGAAATGTATCCCAGCTTTGAAAATATCAGATACCTACTGTGTTCTCATCCTTGTTGTCGGACTGAATGTTTCTACATAATATTCCCCGTATATCTGCGAAAATCCTTTACCTACAAAACGAGCATTATACACTGGAGATCCATCCTCAGTTCGCTTTACAGTATAAACCAAACGGCTGCCGATAATATTTTTATCATCCGGGGCCTTTTTAATTTCAAAAGTGTCGTTTGATACTAAAGATTCGATTTCTTTTTGCATGGCGGCTATCCAACGTTTAGGATTGTCAGAATTTATGGCTTCTTGATAGTTCTTCGGGATACATTGTACCGAATATCAACAGTCAATGTCACAGATATTACAATGACCTATTCCCCTGGACATTCGGAGAGAGTAAACAAAATGGCCGCCTTTATACACGACCGACTGAATATTTTACGTCTTCTAATATGTTAAGTTTCTATTGGTGGACTATAAAGTGATTCAAGTCATTTCGACTTGCTCACTAGTTACACAAAGAACTGCAACATACTGATGTAGCCAATTCATTACAGCAGCTTTTACTTCGTCATCACCACCTGACTAAGCAGCCTCAAACCTACATCGATTAGATTCAATGAAAGAGATACTAAGTGATAAATGTTATGCCGGTGATGAAGAACTGAAAACTGCTGTAAGGAACTGTATAGATCAGAAGCATTCTGAGTTTTCCAAAGCCGGGTTACATGTTCTCATTTATAGATAGTACACTGCGTTGAATCACGTGGTGACTATGTTGAGAAGTAGGGATGTGAACTTAAGACGTATGCATGTGGCGTGAATTACGATATGTTTAATTTGTGTTCTCTAATTCTTTGAAAGAGGTGATATATAATTCAGATATATTGGGTTGGCAACTAAGTTCCCGCCTTGTTTTTAAATTTTGGAATCTATTTTTTTTTCGAGAATTTTATTTTGGAATCATTTTGGAATCTATTTTTTCGATTTAATTTAAGTGAAATTCTGCTTCTTTTCAGATCATTAAAATGAAATACCAAGTTAAAAGAAAAATGAGCATTTTTCGACGCCTCCTTATTTTTGTTTTTTATCAAAGTCCTAAGGCCATAAACGCTGCTCGTGACATTTTTGCTTGTATGGGGAAGATGCCATAGCATAAAGAACTACCCCTGATTGGTATGCCAATTTAGAAAATTAAAATATTGACCTCAAAGATGCACCTCGTTCTGGACGTCCAGTTGAGTTCGTTGAAGAGTGATCAAACCAACATTTACACGAAAGTTCTCGTCAAAAGACAGGAAAACTGGCAAAGAAAATGGAATGTTCCCACACTGCTATAGAGAAGCATCTGCAGTAGATGGGAAATGTTCAGAATTGTGGAGCATGGTTTCCGCATGTTTTAATTGATGATAACAAAAATCAACGAGCCACAATCTCCGCTGGTTTGCTTGTTCGTCATCGCTGAACTCATGGACAAAAGCAACGATTTCTTTACCGAATAGTTATCAGCGACGATAAATAGTCTCTCTACATTATAAAGAAGAATCTTTACTTCATTCACTCGATGGGAAATGTTTAGAAATGTGGAGCATGCTTTCCGCATGTTTTAATGATGATAACAAAAATCAACGAGCCACAATCTCCGCTGGTTTGCTCGCTAGTCACTGCTCAACTCATGGACGCAAGCGACGATTTCTTTAACGAATCGTTACTGGCGACGAAAAATAGTCCCTTTAGATTAGTATAAAGAAGTGCAAGAAAGGCTTAGTCCTGTTAAACAAGCGACACCGCGCATTTAACAAGATCTTCATCCGCGTAAAATATGTTGTGCGTATGGTGGGACTGTGAAGTGATTATCCATTATAAATTGCTTGAACGGAACCAACATTTATACAAAAATTCTAGTCAAACGATAAGAGAATTGGCATCGAAAATGGAAAACTGTTATAGAGAAGAATCTTTACTTAACTCACTCGATGGGAAATGTTCAGAAGTGTGGAGCATGGTTTCCGCATGTTTTAAGTGAGGATAACAAAAATCAATGAACCACAATTTCCGCTGGTTTCCTTGCTCGTCACCGCTCAGCTCATGGACCCAAGCAACGATTTCTTTACTGAATTGTTACTGGCGACGAAAAATGCTGCCTGTACATTAATATGAAGCAGCGCAAGAAATGGCTTAGACCTGGCAAACAAGCGACACCGCAAGTGAGACAAGATCTTCATCCGCGTAAAACGATGTTGTGCGTATGGTGGGACTGGGTAATGAATTAGCCATTATGACTAATGAAGCCATTCAAACGCATGGCTGGAAAGGACTGCCACACCGGCCGTAGTCTCCCGATATGCCACCAACGGATTTCCACCTCTTTCGGTCTCTTTCAAATGCTATGCGCAGAGTTTCATTCAACACTGATGCAGAATTGAGAGCTTGGTTGGATGAATTTTTCGTGTCGAAACAGGGTGATTTCTACCAACGAGGTATTGAAAATCTTGTTGAATGTTGGGAAGAAGTTGAAAACAACAAGGGAGAATATTTATTTAGTTGTTATTCTTTTATCAATAAACCTTTTAAAAAAAGTAAATTTAAAAAAAAAAACGGCGGGAACTTAGTTGCCAGTCGAATACAACACCGGGAAAATTTTTCAATTTCAGAAATTTGAACACTAAATCCAAGAACTCTGGGTAAATGATCGGACATTCTCGGTATGTTGATGATGTAGAATTTGCAGAATGCAAGAAGGAACATTTGGCATTTTCAATTCTTTTGAACTGAGGATTAGCCACAGTAAGACAACACTATTTAATAACGTGTACAAATCAAGAATTAACCGTTATCTTCCCTAGATATCCCCATAAACTATGCCTCTTACTTTGCAGATTTTTCCCCCGACTTGATATTACAGGGTGAATATTATTGTCAAAACTTGGTCTAATCCTCTGTTTCTATACTTGACAGAATCACGCTACCTTGTAAAAGATGACGTATTATCTTCCCTACCATCTCTATCTCACAAACGCAAATCGTATATGTCGCTGCTTACATAAGTGTTCAGATTTCAATTTTTAGTGCCAGCAGTTTAGAAATTTACAACCAAGTCATGCCTTAATATCTTCACAAGATGGAACCACAGTCATTATGTACGTATTACTTTCGTAAAATGCAAGTGTTTTGTGGTTTCTCGAAAACTACAATCTTAATCTCTTGAATCAATCATTATCTATCATAAAAAACGTGTGTTAACAGTAATCTATCCATCATATTCACATGATCTTTAATTCGTATTCACTCTTTTTGTATTCATATCACACACCTCATTCTGAACATCACTATCTTGAGTGGCTCTTTGGATTTATATTCGGTTATCCATAACAAAAATGTTACATTGTTTCCATTATAAAATGATTCGATCTTCCCTAAAACATGGATTTTGCTATCGTTTTAAAATCGACAATTCATATAATTTTGTTTTCCACATATGTTTAGGTTGATTCTGTTTTTTGCATATATATATATATATATATATATATATATATAATTAATCATTAACATTATATTTCCTTTCTATCGATATTGAATAATTTACTATCTAATTATATTTAAATACCCCTATTATCTGCGTATTGACTCAATTCGATTTCAATATTTAATATCCTCCTGAGTTTCAGCTATTGAATAATTAATATATATCACATCTATTGCAACTTCCAATGGCCTATGAACATTATTACCCTAAAATACGCGTCTAGTATATTACTAACTATTTATTACGAATGGTATTGTATGATAGATTTTCGATGAATTTCTTAAAAGGTGCATTCAGTCTTTATCTGTCCGTGTTTTAGGCCCACAAACAATTTATGCGGGAAAACGAAAAAGATTTAGTAGTAATTCTCGTTCTAAATAAATCTGTCAATGTCATTCTTTGTTCTACTTTTGCAAACGAATATTAAACCTGTTTAACACACAGTCGTCAAAATAAGAACAAATTCATTCATAGAATTATCGATAAAAATTAAAAACTATATCACTTAATGCCTTCCTCTGTTCGATGCAGAATTAAAACCGTTAAAATATTTTTGGTAAATACACCTTTATATTTTGAGTAAATAAGTGTGTGGTTAAATAACAACTTAAAAAACATATTTTTAAAATCTAATTATTTTGCAATTTAAAAATGTGGAATTCGATGTAGAAGCAATTTAAAAAAAAAATATTAATGGAAATCAAAAAATATCTCGGTTAAATATGGCTGGATAATAGAGAACGTAGAGATTTCAACAGGAAGCGGATGTGGCATGACCCCTGTCGGATAAATTCGGAAAAATTATAGAGATCGTGTTTCTTTTTATTTTTTTAATCAATGGGCTGACCGACCAAAGGTCAAATACTGACCTTCGCTACACAACATATATCGATTAGGC